TAGCTTGTCCATCCTTGCTTTGTTAATTATTCCAGTGGAGATTAAGACAAGATCTCTCTATAAGTGACAGAGAGGATGACTCTGGTTTAAAGCCACAAAGCCAATTTTACCTGCTGAGGATTTAAACCATTGATTCAAGCTTTGGGGGCAGTCAGCTGGAAAAACAAAGCTAAAACATTCCTGCAACATAAAGTGCCAGTCCACAGCATGTCATTCATCACAACACACTGCACTCACCCAAACACACACAGCCCCTCACAACACCATCCACTGGCATCAGTGTTTTGTAAAGCTGATGAGAAACAACTCAAATGTTTTTGCACCATCCCACTATTTCATATGCTCAGTTAATATTTATACCACAACCTTTAAAAATAGAACCAAAAAAACACACTTTAAAAAAAAAAATGTCATTAATATCCTGTGTGGATTCTGATTTTTCACAATGTTGTACTCGAAGTTTTTATTATGCTGGTACCATTTAATCAGAAAATAATTGATCTTTTCAGAATTAACGTGTCACCTGCTTGTGCTTCTGTCTGTCCCACAGGACATCAAATTGTCCAAAATTAGTCCTTAAAGTGTCCTGAATTGCAGAACCTTTGACTCCTCAAGATGAAAAGGCCCTTTATCCTTGAGATGCACCTTGATTAGTCCAAGGAGACTAATTAATCATGGAAAGCTACTCCATTAGTAGGCACTCCAACCTGGTCAAAGCAAACCTCGGGCGTCTGGAGTGGCAAACTTTTGTCTGGGTTTGGAAAAATCAGGCTTGGAGCAGCGTGGGGCACATCCCCCTCCTAATTAAGGACCTGTGCAAAGCTGGGCCTGCCTCTGTGAGCTCAGGAGAGCAGCCCACGGGTGGAAATGGGGTGGATGGAGCCCTGGGGTCTCTGCAGCAGGGGCTGATTCAGGCAGGATGAGCCCCTGTTTCCTATTTTTATAATATGACCTCCAGCAATACTTTCTGCAAGCAGGGGGAAAGTGATGAACGAGCCCACATTCTGAATTCCAGGCAGATTTCTGCCCTGTCCATGCAACCCATGTCAGTATTAAAAATCAGGAGGCACATCCCTAGGAACAGTTTCCAGGAGGAAGAACTGCTCTAAACCCCGCTGGGAGAAACTCCTGCCCAGAGCCAGGAGTTCATCAGCCTGCTGGTGGCTTTTGCTTCATTCATTCCTGCTCTTCCAGCCTCTGCAGAGGAGGCAGCATTGTCAGAGGAGTGTTGCACAGCTCAGCTCTGAATAAAGCTCGTTTAAATCTATTTATTGACGAAAACCAAGTGGGCACAATCAGCCAGACCTCTGGGTTCAGTGGGTTTTGCCTCGGGAAGGGGGTGGGCTTTATGACACCCTGGCACATGTCAGAGAGCGAGAAAATAATCTTCAGGAGTCTTAAAAACCCGGGAGGAGCTCGGTGGGGTTTTTAGGAGAAACGCCACATTCCCGTGAAAGTCCCAGATCCTCCCGAGACAAAAATTCCCACCGTAGCCAGAGGCCCTGCTTAAAACCGGTGCTGAAATACAGCTCCCAGGGGTCACTCCGGTGCCTGGGAGGAGGGGTAGGAGTTTCCCCCTGGAAGAATCCTGCAGGGATTTGATCCCCTGGAGGTGGAGGCTCATTGATGCTCTTTTTTTCCTCAACAATCGCATTTGTGAGCTGCATTCGCCGCCTGGGTGGGGCATTTCCCTGCCCTTATGCGGGGAGGAGCAGAAAAGTCGGGGTCTCTCCCCAAACACAGGGCGGGGAGGGGAAGGGAAGGGTGTTTTTGGGTGCAGGGGTGGGGTGGCGGAGCTCCTTTCTTCTTCTGCCCCCTCCCCGTGGGCACTCACAGACCTGCAGAGAGGTCTGGAGAGAAGGCTCCGGGAGAGACGCTGCTTCCCACAGGCTGCCACATGGATGTGAAAGCTGGGTGGGAAAGGATCCCTCCCCTCTGCAGCCTGTGGCGTGCTCGAGTTCACCTCACACACACACACACACACACACACACACACGCACACACGCGTATATAAATATATGCACCCACCTTGTCGTTCAGGTTCTGCAGCGCCTCCTTCCCCGTGGCACTCCTGATCTCCACCTTTCTCCCGAAATCAACAGATGGTTCCCCTCCCTTCCCGCTCTGCCTGGAATACACGGACTGAGCATCCGGACCCAGGTGGGCAACGTCCTTCTGCTTCGCCACCACTTTGTTGCATCCCCGGCCCACCGAGAGCGAGTCGAAGTCGATGGTCTTGTTCTCCAGGGAGCCTTCCACCGGGCAGAACATGCCACAGAATTTCTGCCGGGGCTTGGGGCTGCCCGAGCCCAGGTTTTTGAAGAAGGCTGGCACCTCTTCTTCCTCGCCCTGCCGCCCGTTCTGCTTCCTCTCAGCCATGGCTCGGGTGCTCTCCCTGCCGAGGGGGGAATAACGACAGCAGTAACCAGGAGGGTCCTTCACTCACACACACACACACACGCGGGGAGAGGAGAGGAGAGGTGGGGGGAAGAAAAGGAGGAAGAGATGGGAAAACGATGGCTCTGGGTCCTAAAGACACGGCAGCATCAGCTGCAAAGGGCTGTGCCCCGCAGGTCCCCTGCCCCCATCGCAGCCACCGTCCAGCCTGTGGCTCTTTGATGCAGCGCAAAGTTGAGGGGAAAAGGATGGGGCAGATCCTGCTGCAGTCAAGGGAGGAGGTTTCAAGTTCCCAGCATCCAGATGGGGAGGGAGGGAGGGAAAAGGAGGGAGAGAGAGAGGGGGGGGAAAAAATAAAAAAATAATAGTAAAAAAAAAAATGCTCACTCTGCAGCAGAAACTGGGGACTGCTCCGGAAGTGATGCGAGCGGTGAATTGGCAAATGGACTCGATCAGGTTGGAGCAGCAGCCCCCCTCACACCCACCCACCCACCCACCCCACCCGCTCCCCCTCCCCTTCCCCGGCGTGCGGCCCGTGGTCCAGGGAGGTGATGGGCACCCCGTCCCTCCCCGCAGGGCAGAGAGGGGCTCTGCCCTCCTCCCTTCCCCCCACCCCCTGCCCTGCCTCCCCCAGCCCCGCCATGGTGGGGCCGGGCACTCCAGCCCATTGTTCCTCACTTTTCCCAGCGCGGCGGAGCCGGAGGGCGGGAGCAGCCGGGATGGGGTCGGTGGGGATGGAGCGGCGATGCTGACTCAGCTCCCCGGGCTCTGGGGCATCGCCGGTGCGGACCCTCCTCGCGGGGGAGGGGGGGGAAAGGGCTGATTGATGGCACTGGAGAGGGGATGAGAGAGAGAGAGACAGATGGGAGAGGGGTGTGGGAACCGGGGGACGGAGGGAAACGAGCCGGACGAGCGGGGCTTACCTCCCGGAGCCGAAATTAGTGACCTTGCGAGTCAATTAAAGGCTCTGCAGTGGCGGGAGCCCCCCGCCTGTCCCTGCGGGGGAGCAGGGGAGGCAGCCAGAGGCGGAGGGCAGGTTTGCAGAGGAGGAGACAGACCCTGCCCGTGGTGACAGTGACGGTGACGGTGACCCTGCACTGGGCGCGGGAGAGAGGGGAGATGGGGGCAAAGGGGAGAGGGGAGATGAGGGAGAGGGGAGATGGAGGAGAGGGGAGATGGGGGAGAGGGGAGATGAGAAGCAGAGAGTAGATGGGGGTAAATGGGAGATGCGGCCCCCCGGCTGTCCCGGCCAGGGGACCGGCGCTGTCCCTTCAGCACCACCCGCGCCCGGCCCGGGGGGGTCGGAGCTCCAAACCCCTGCCGAGCTCCAAAGCCAGCCCAGCTCCGCCTGTCTGGGATCCCCTTTTACCTCTTCCCTGGGGTTTGTCCCTAAATGAGCCGTTCCGGGCGGGGGGGAGGGCTGGGGTCACTCCCGAGGGGCTGCTTTGGGCAGAGCCCACCGGGCCCCCTGAGACCCTCGGGATGTGGGGGCAGAGACATTTTCGTCACAAAGGTAAGAGGTGCAAGCACGCAACGGGCTTAGCGGGGCTGCCTCCACCTGATACACGTTATTCACGTGTGATCTGGGGCCTTTGGGCTAATCCACATGCAATATTCCTGCAGCCCAAAGCCCGTGGCCAAGCTGGTTATTACCATGCATTATTCATTGATCTGCATCTTTGCACATGCATACATTAATTGTTAATTGAGAGGCATCTGTGTCCAAATGGCCACTAAGCACCTCTGCAAGATTAAAAACAAAAAAACAAAACAAAAAAAAACCAAACACACCACCCCAAAACACTTAGAGCAATAAATGAAGATACATTTAAAGAGTAATAATCTCGGAGCCTTCTCTCCCTGCGAACCACACCCAAAACAAGGCCTTTGTACCAAAACACAGAAAACCACCCCAGCCAAGGTCACAACTAAGTGAAGCCCTGTAATAAATGCACAGCACAGTGATAAAAGACTCCAGACTAAAAGGAAAGGACTAAGCCTGCAGCTTGGCCCTGAAGGATGAGGGTGATGTGCTCTGGTAACTAATGAAGGAGGGAGGAATCGACAGCCCCACCTCCTTCCCCTTCTGGGACCGTCCAGGGGCTGCAGCCACGCTGATCTCAGGTGCTTGGTGGGGGGATTGGAGGCCAGCAGATGGTCTCCCAGGTACACACAAGTGCTGTATTATTAAGGGTTTATAAATATTAATTGCCACGGCATGGCTGATCAGGAGCTGCAGCGAGCGCTGACAGAGGCTCCAGCCTGAGCAAAGCCTGGAAGTGATTGTGCTGACACGTTCTGCACTGCCTTCAGTTAGCTGGGGGTTGTATTTCCAGTCCTGCTCAGGGGAAGTCTGTCAAAAGACCCCTCCCAGGCTGATCTGACTGCCCTCATGGGTCAAAGCAAAGGGGATTTGTCACCCCTAAGGAACTTCCAGCACCCCAAAAGAATCAGATAGATCAGATTCCCATCGACTTTGTGGTCATTAAAAGAGCATAGGGGGATGCAAGTTATATTTCAGTTTGAGTTTGCAGCTCCACAGCACAGTTAGTAATATATTAAACCAGCAAGATTTTTTTGCCCATGCTCTAAGCATGGAAATAACCACATCTTGCTGAAAAATCCCTGGGATCTGATAACCTGGGTGTTTAATAACCCCATAGGTTGTCTGTTTTGCACTGAGAACCACACAAATCACTTTGAAAATGACGCCGACCCTCATCTGAATTTCAGAATCCCAGGATCAATATGAAAGTTCCTGAGAAAACAGCTCATTCTTGGTCCTACAAAGGTGGAGAAACACTGGAGTTACCTGAGCACCACCTGAGAAATGAATCAGGGCAGTTGGAGTCACACATTTAGTGTCCCTGCAGCAGCTCTGTATTCTGACCCTGTAATGAGTACTAATTAGTTCTTGCAGTATCAGTTACAGGGTCTCCAGTTTTCCAAAAGCTGTGGCTTTCCCATCCCTGGAAGTGCCCAAAGCCACGTTGGAGCAACCTGTGCTGGTGGAAGGTGTCCCTGCCCCTGGCAGGGGGTGGAATGAGCTGAGCTTTAAGGTCCCTTCCAACCCAAACCACTCCATGATTTTCAAAGAGAAGCTGAACAAAGCTTGAATAGAAACCAAGAGCCAAATTTCAGGGATGCTCAGGGCATCCTGCCTGGCACAGCCTGTGCTGTCCACAACATTTAACAGCCCTTAAAAACACCAACCTGTTGCGTGGGCCACTGCAATGGTCTGAATTTCAGCCACCTTCCCTCTGTCTGGCTGTTGCTTTACCTACTGCTGCTCCCTGTAATTTTAATTTCCTAAGGTGCAGGCTCAGCATCAAGAGGTGGCAGTGAATAACTGCGCTTCCAGAATATTCCTGCAATATTAAGAACCAAGCCCAACCCTAAAATGCTTCGCTGGGTTGCAATTGTTCTGGCAGAGCACAAAAAAAAAAAACCAAAAAAAACCCAAACAAAACAAAACTGAAAGGCCAAGTTGTCTACAGAGAAATCATTAACCAAGTTCCCTCTGGGATATGATAATTGCTGGAGGGGCTGACAGCTTTTCTTGGCGTCGGCCACTCAAAGACGAGACACATTATTTCAGAAACATTAAAGGCCAGAAAGAAGAAAGTCCTTTGATAAACGAGTAAAAAAAAAAAAAAAGTCCATTCAAACGCTGGGACAAAGCTCATTTATTTCCAGGGTCCTTTTTTTTTTTTTAATTCCTATTTATCCTGTGCCTCACATTTTTCCTTTATGGGTTTGTCCTCAGCCAACGTGAACCAGCCCTGGCGAATTTCTGCCAGTCAAGGTTTGGTGCCAGTGGCTTTTGGCCCGTGAAAACAGATGGTCTGAAAGCCACGTTGTGCCCACCTTGCCCACGGCCAGGAGTGCAAATATTTAGTCCATTACAAGGGGGATTTTCCAAAGGCACAGCTGGGAATCAGGCACACAATTCCCGTGGATTTCCAGAGGGAGCGGGAGAGCCCCATCAAAAAAAAAATCTCTCCTTCCTAATTCAGCGTGTGAAAGGTACCAGCCTGCCCTGAAATCAGATTTTTCTCAGTTATTCCCAAGGTGATAATCATGGACAGAAGCAATAGGAATCTCACTGAACCATTCAGGATTTAAAAACAAAACTCCCCAGCAGAACTGGTTTCCTTGTGGCCCTTAAGTGACGTTTGGGAGCCCTGGAAAAGCTGGATTTCAGCTGAGGGCTGAGGATCTGTTCTTCCAGACAGCGTCATTAAGAGGGCTCAGCCATCTAACCACAGAAAGGCATCATTAAATATTCACATTTCCTCTCAACACCTCTCTCGATGTGACAGCTCCTGGCTCACCACCACCACCACCACCATCCCTGCTGGACCTGGGGGCTCCACAGGAAATAGCTCTTGATTTATGGGCTGGAATTGCCTCCAACTGTGCCAGCATTTTTTTTCCCAGAAGGACATTTTTCCTGATCTTTCGCTATTGCAACACGGCTTCAAAAAAAGACCTTCCAAGCCAGGGGAGCTCTGGCCAAAAACAAAAATGAGTTTGTGCCCTGGCAGTGGGAGCTCCTCACCGTTCTCCATGTCCCACTGCAGGCACTCCAGAGCTGGGATCCACGTGGATCACACACCTCCTGAGCCCTGCTCCTAAATAATGAGGACAAAAAAATAATAGCAAGGGTCAGAAGGCAGAGCGTGTGGCCTGTGGATGAGTCACTCTTGGAGTGCTGCAGCTCTCTGGGTTCCTCTGGGACAGGACACAGCAGCACTAAAAATAGAAGTCAGCACTAAACTCGAGCTGAGAACAGCCCCAGACTTGGGATGGACAAATACTACTTGGATTAATCTGCCAACACGTATCAAAGATGATGTCCAGCCTCACCTTCCCTTCCTGCCCCTGCTCCCTCGTGGCAGTTCTTACAGCACTTCCCACGAGGGGAAACTGCCTCTCATTTATTGAACTGGAACCCCTTAAACACAGCACAGTAACATCCTGGGACATATTTACCCTCAGCACAGGGTGATGGGCTCAGAAAAGGCTTCCCTGGGCGCTGGAGCCGGGTTTGTGCCCCCAGAGGCAGCGATTTAATCCACACTTGGATCAGAACTGCCTTGAGAATATTCATCACACGTTCAGAAATTCATCCCCCCCCCTCCTCATCAGAGACTCAAAGCTCCTCCCTGCAGATTTCTGAGCTCCACAAGTGAAAAGAAAAGGGAGGGAGGGACCATCCAAGGCTCCAGGTGAGGAAGGGGGGCTGGAGGAGAACGCCCAGGTGAGTGCAGGTGGTGTTGATGATTCTGTTCATCAGCGTCAGTGGCTCAAACCTCTGCCAGTTCACAGCACAAAAGCATCTTACCCTTAAGCTGCACTAAGCAGCTTCCCCCCCCCCCGTGTTTGGTGCTGGCTTTAGAGCCTATTTTAAACCTGTCTGCACAGGTAGGCATTTCAAACCAGCTCTGAACACACTGCTGGTCACGTCTGCATTTACAGTGACCCATTTGGGGAACCCGAGGAGAGAGAAAAAACCTCCTAGGCTGCAGATAAATACATTTTCGTGCTTTACTCTGCGATAAAAGTGCCAGCCAGAGGCAGAGGGAATTGCTACACTGGAAATCCAAAGGACATCGTGGCCAAGCAGGTACCATTTCCACCTGGGAAAACGGGGAATAACACTATAAAACCCAGATTTCCAACCAGTGCAACACTTCCAAGTGAAACCAGGTAGAACTAAAGCTTCACACATGCTCCAAATCACTGTGGCAGCGGGCCATGAGCTGGATAATATTATTAACACAGAAGCAGCAACCTTTTCCCAAGGGTCTCAAGAATTCCTTGGTGGCCACCGTTCCAAGGGAACTGGGAT